AGCGCCCAGGCAGTACCTTCAGCCCAGCCATGAAGAGAGCCCAGGAGAGCCAACCGGAGCCGGCGGAGATGTTTCCTGCGCCCGGGGTTGCTGCCGCCGCCTCCGAGGCTGCTTGAAACTCCCCAAAGTTGCGAGCCAGCGAGAGGCTGCCGCCCGCCGGGAGCGAAAGGGAAAGGAACTCGTAAGATGCCGGAGTGACAGACAGAGACAGACAGACGCACAGACCTGCAGAAGACACCACCGTCGGCGGTCTCTCCCCGGAGCCCGCGAGGCTTCCCAGCTCTGTGAGTTGCTTTCTGGATGGGTGGCTTGCTAAGTACTTCCGTGTAATTGTTTATAAGCTACGTTTGTGTATTTTTATGTCTCTTGGAGTTTTGTTTTTTTTTAAAAAAAAAACACCCACACGTAGGATGCACCTTAAAAAAATTTGAGTTTCTGATGTTGAAACGGTTGTGTTAGAATGTAGATGTCTGTAATTGGTAGTAACCCAAGAAAAATTGCATCCAGCGGTAAAAAGGACATAGGCTCCCTAGTGTGGGAAAAAAAATCCTCCATTTCAAAAGTTACTGGAAAGAAAGCCAATTCTTACTCTTAAGGGTTAATAGTGGTAGTTAACTTTGGTTTTTTTTTACCCCTCTTTAAATATTGATTGTTTACCAGGTTCACTGGTGGGAGGCTGAGCTGGTGGAAAAGGCGCCTGGAAGAGACTTAGAGGCGACCATAATGTCTTTACGCTTACATGCACTGCCCACCCTGCCTGGAGTTGTCAGACCAGGCTGCAGGGAACTGCTGTGTTGGTTGGTGATCACGGTGACTGTGAGCCGTGGCGCCTCCGGGGTGTGCCCTACCGCTTGCATCTGTGCCACTGACATCGTGAGCTGCACCAACAAAAACCTGTCCAAGGTGCCAGGGAACCTTTTCCGACTGATTAAGAGACTGGATCTGAGTTACAACAGAATTGGGCTTCTGGATTCTGAGTGGATTCCGGTGTCATTTGTAAACCTGAACACCCTCATTATTCGCCATAACAACATCACGAGCATTGCGGCGGACAGTTTTTCCACAACTCCAAACCTGAAGTGTCTTGACTTATCATCCAACAAGCTGAAGACTGTGAAAAGTGCAGTGTTCCAAGAGTTGAAGGTTCTGGAAGTGCTCCTGCTTTACAACAATCACATTTCCTATCTTGACCCTTCAGCATTTGGAGGGCTGTCCCAATTGCAGAAACTCTACCTAAGTGGAAACTTTCTCACGCAGTTTCCCATGGATTTGTATGTTGGAAGGTTCAAGCTGGCAGAACTGATGTTTCTAGACGTTTCTTATAACCGGATCCCCTCCCTGCCGATGCATCATTTAAATTTAGTGCCAGGAAAGCAGCTGAGAGGCATTTACCTTCATGGAAACCCATTTGTCTGTGACTGTTCCCTTTACTCGCTGCTGATCTTTTGGTATCGTAGGCACTTTAGCTCAGTGATAGATTTTAAGAATGATTATACCTGTCGCTTGTGGTCAGACACTAGGCACTTCCATCAGATGCTTCTCCTCCAGGATAGCTTCATGAATTGCTCTGACAGTATCATCAATGGCTCCTTCCGTGCACTTGGCTTTATTCATGAGGCTCAAGTCGGGGAGAGGCTGATTGTCCACTGTGACAGCAAGACTGGAAATGCAAATACCGATTTCATGTGGGTGGGTCCAGATAACAGAGTGCTGGAGCCAGATAAAGAGACGGAAAACTTTTATGTGTTTCCCAATGGAAGTCTGATGATAGAAAGTCCTCGTTTTGAGGATGCCGGAGTGTATTCCTGTATTGCAATGAATCGGCAGCGTCTGTTAAATGAAACTGTGGATGTCACAATAAACGTGAGCAATTTCACGGTAAACAGATCCCATGCCCATGAGGCATTTAACACAGCTTTTACCACTCTTGCAGCCTGCGTGGCCAGCATCGTTTTGGTACTTTTGTACCTCTATCTGACGCCATGTCCTTGCAAGTGTAAACCCAAGAGACAAAAAACTATCTTAAACCAAAGCAATGCCCATGCATCTATCCTCACTCCTGGCCCTGACAGTGATGGCCCCGCTGATGAACGGAAGGCAGGTGCCAGTAAAAGAGTGGTCTTTTTGGAACCCCTGAAGGATACCGCAGCCGGGCAGAATGGGAAAGTCAGGCTCTTTCCCAGTGAAACGGTTATAGCTGAGGGCATCTTAAAGTCCACGAGGGTGAAATCTGACTCAGATTCAGTCAATTCAGTGTTTTCAGACACACCCTTTGTGGCGTCCACTTAATTTTGTGCCTGTATTTGTATGATGTAGTGATTTAATCTCTTCATATTCAACTTCTTGTGTGGCCTACAGAAGTAAACAGCAGGGCAGACATGATGTGTTTTAGCTTTCGAAATATAACCAAAGGGTCTCTTTCACTAGGTAACAGGAAATGTGGTAAAGCCTACTGCACTTCCTCGATGTGCCAGAGAAAGTTGGGATGGTTTTTCAGAGTTTCAATTCTAGATAATATCTTAGTCTCTAGCATCACTGATCATTTCAAAGCTGGCCTGGGGGTGACATGACTTCATTATTCTTCCACTCAGGATTCTTGAAAGAAAAGTTAAATTTCATGTATTAGTATTCTTCAAAAAGATTTTGCTGACTTCGGGGGACCAGAGTTGAGTTCTTTTAAAGAAAAGCATTGAGCCCTAATTCATTTTGAAAAGATGTAGAAGGAAGAACCAAGCAGCAATTATTTATAAAGCACAAAGTAAAGTTAGATTTGGGAATAATTCGGTTCATGTCATCACTGCAGACCAGAGTAAACAGACTACCCCGATAAAATGTACTGAGCAATGCCACAGCCCATGGTGTTAGATAAATAGTACAATAAAGGCACGTTTGTTTGACTGTCTTCTTTCCATTTGGTACATTTCCTATCCTTGTACAAAAGATCTTACTGAAAGTTTAAAGCCATCATTATCCGTTGCCATAAATACGTAGGTGTCAATACCAAAATGTCTGAGGAACTTCTTCAGCCTTTGTTCTAGCAGACTAATATTTGTTTATCCGCTTGTGTGTATGTAAATCTTAAATCGTATGGACTATTAAATAATCTTACTGTACTGTGCTTTGGACAGTTGAATTATTGTAAATATATCTGTTCTGCCAACTCCATGTTCTGTTCTGTTTGGCTATTTAAAAACATAAGTCTCAGATGTTTTATGTGATCAGATTGTGCTACCTGGTGTTAAGTACCCTCTAGAGCAAATATCTCTCTTGGAGTAACAGTACAGAGTTTATTTTTTTTAAGGGTGGTGGGGAAAGGCTCTAAAGTGTTCCACACCAATTTATTTATACCTTCTGTATCACATTTTACTCTGATGCCATAATGCACTTTAGCCAGGTTTGGGAGGCCCCTAAGCTCTGATTTTGGAACATCTGAGAGACCCAGAGACCTCCCCCTCATTCTCATCTCTGCTGTGGGGTTAATTGAGTACCCATGGTGGATGTAAGTTTCCTCAGCTATGAAGTGAAGATTTCAGACAGGGTTATGTTAAAGGCTCCTTCCCACACTGGAAGTGATGATTTCCTGCTGGTCTTAGCTCCATCACAGACTTGCAGTGGCTTTCTGACACTGTACCACATCCTGATGGAGTACAGGAGTGAGATGAGGGCAGAGTAGCGTAGCACAGCTCCACGGGATGCCTTGGACCATCAAGTCCAGCTCCTTCCCTTGCTCAGGGACTCAGGAAACCCAGAGAGGGTTGTGGGTTATCTAAGGCCATGCAGTGAATCAGTGACAAGGATTTCAGGAGAGCTCAGGTTCAGGATTCTTCCTGGAGAAGATAAGAGAGTCAAAAAATAGTTTTTTTTAAGGATGGGGATGGAGAAGGAGCCCAAGAATGAGACGAAAGAGTGGTCAGAAAATGGCAAAGGAGAATTGGGTGTGCTGTCACTGGGGCCAAGAGAGAAGAGAATTTTTAGAATATGGAAGTAGGCAACAGTGACAGATATTTTGAGAATGAGATGAGGAGGGAAGACTAACGTTCTGCAGGTGGTTTGGGGGGAAGGGTGGATACCTGGTGGAGACAAGTGCCAGGCCAGGCTCCCAGTGGCAGACATTGGTCAGCTGGGGATTAGGAGTGAGTGAGTGGTCAGGACGTGTGCTCAGAATGGGATGCTGGGCCACTTCTCAGTAGGCACTGCAAATTCCTTATTGCATGGTGTTGAAAAATTACTTCTCTGCCTTTTAAACACCTCATCTGTTGGGTAAGATCCTTCAGACCCAAAGATATGACAGGAAAACATTTAATTCCAGTTCCTGCCATTTAAATAATTAGGAAGAGTTCTGGGATGTGTGTGACCTTTGAAATCATCACTCCATTGGAGAAACTCAGACTCAGTGATGCTGTGATTTGTTCAGGGTCACAGGGGTAGTTTGGACACAAGGAAAAACTCTCGAACTACTGACAGTCTCCAGAAGTGGGAAGGGCTGCCTTCAGGGGCCATGATCACCCTGACCGGGAGCGTGAAAGAGCGCGGTGTAGGCTGGCAGGGAGGTTGCAGAGAGCATCTCTGAACTGAGTCTTTTCTGGGCAGGATCTCTAAGCTCCTTCAGCCCTCAAACCCTTGATCCTAGGAAACGCATGCTGCCTTTGGCAAGGGAACGTGGACAGTGCTAAGAGGGGGGAGTTTGTAGAGCCTGATCTTGGTTGGTCTAATACACCTTGCTTGGTTAAAGGATATGCTGAGCTGAGATCAAAACTAACATACAACCAAAACATAGGAAAACAACAAAAAAAATCCTGAATGCTGCAAAGCAAAGCTTTGAACAGGAGCAGGAAGGTATCGTGATGAAAAAGCATGGAACTGAATGTTATATAGTGGAATTTTAAGTTCTTCTTATTTTTTTTTTTTGGTAGAAGCCTGATCACATGTATTTTAAATATAGGAATAGAACTAAATTGTACTTTATGAATTTGTCCCACTCAAAACTTTTATATAATTTTCCTTCCAAGTGATAATCTGAATTTATGTAACTGGGTTTCTCTTTTAAGCTACTTAGTATTTTTTATTACACAATTGTGGGAGAGGTGGATACTCATTGGAAAAATTGAGCA